CTGTCGCAGGGAGAGAAGCATATAAGAACGATACTGAGGGTGATATACCGACCCACACCACCACCACCCTGCCGCCCACCCTGGGAATTCAACATGTGGGTTGTATTGATGAGCTTTCTTTGATGATGCGCTGCGGCAGCGGCGGTGACAGCTGGCGTGCGCTAAGTGCGCTACCTGGCGGCGCTACCACAGCGCTAACCCTTACACGTGCGCTACCATCCACACAATGTACACAATAAACTAGCCACTATCATCCACAGGATGGATATGAGGTACACAATAAACTAGCCACTACCATCCACAGGATGGATATGAGGTACACAATAAACTAGCCACTATCATCCACAGGATGGTATGAGGTACACAATAAACTAGCCACTACCATCCACAGGATGGATATGAGGTACACAATAAACTAGCCACTACCATCCACAGGATGGATATGAGGTACACGATAAACTAGCCACTACCATCCAAAGGATGGATATGAGGTACACAATAAACTAGCCACTACCATCCACAGGATGTATATGAGGTACACAATAAACTAGCCACTATCATCCACAGTATGGATATGAGGTACACAATAAACTAGCCACTACCATCCACAGGATGGATATGAGGTACACAATAAACTAGCCACTACCATCCACAGGAATGGATATGAGGTACACAATAAACTAGCCACTATCATCCACAGGATGGATATGAGGTACACAATAAACTAGCCACTACCATCCACAGGATGGATATGAGGTACACAATAAACTAGCCACTACCATCCACAGGATGGATATGAGGTACACGATAAACTAGCCACTACCATCCACAGGATGGATATGAGGTACACAATAAACTAGCCACTACCATCCATAGGATGGATATGAGGTACACAATAAACTAGCCCACTACCATCCACAGGATGGATATGAGGTACACGATAAACTAGCCACTACCATCCACAGATGGATATGAGGTACACAATAAACTAGCCACTACCATCCACAGGATGGATATGAGGTACACAATAAACTAGCCACTACCATCCACAGGATGGATATGAGGTACACAATAAACTAGCCACTACCATCCACAGGATGGATATGAGGTACACGATAAACTAGCCACTACCATCCACAGGATGGATATGAGGTACACAATAAACTAGCCACTACCATCCACAGGATGGATATGAGGTACACAATAAACTAGCCACTACCATCCACAGGATGGATATGAGGTACACGAATGAACTAGCCACTACCATCCACAGGATGGATATGAGGTACACAATAAACTAGCCACTACCATCCACAGGATGGATATGAGGTACAACGATGAACTAGCCACTACCATCCACAGGATGGATATGAGGTACACAATAAACTAGCCACTACCATCCACAGGATGGATATGAGGTACACGATGAACTAGCCACTACCATCCACAGGATGGATATGAGGTACACAATAAACTAGCCACTACCATCCACAGGATGGATATGAGGTACACAATAAACTAGCCACTACCATCCACAGGATGGATATGAGGTACACAATAAACTAGCCACTACCATCCACAGGATGGATATGAGGTACACAATAAACTAGCCACTACCATCCACAGGATGGATATGAGGTACACAATAAACTAGCCACTACCATCCACAGGATGGATATGAGTAACACGATGAACTAGCCACTACCATCCACAGGATGGATATGAGGTACACAATAAACTACCACTACCTTCCACAGGATGGATATGAGGTACACAATAAACTAGCCACTACCATCCACAGGATGGATATGAGGTACACGATGAACTAGCCACTACCATCCACAGGATGGATATGAGGTACACAATAAACTAGCCACTACCAGCCACAGAATAGATATGAGGTACACAATAAACTTGCCACTACCAGTCACAGAATGGATATGAGGTACACAATAAACTAGCCACTACCATCCACAGGATGGATTTGAGGTACACAATAAACTAGCCACTACCATCCACAGGATGGATATGAGGTACACAATAAACTAGTCACTACCATCCACAGGATGGATATGAGGTACACAATAAACTAGCCACTACCGTCCACAAGATGGATATGAGGTACACAATAAACTAGCCAATACCAGTCACAGAATGGATATGAGGTACACAATAAACTAGCCACTACCATCCACAGGAATGGATATGAGGTACACAATAAACTAGCCACTCACCATCCACAGGATGGATATGAGGTACACAATAAACTAGCCACTACCATCCACAGGATGGATATGAGGTACACAATAAACTAGCCACTACCATCCACAGGATGGATATGAGGTACACAATAAACTAGCCAATACCAGTCACAGAATGGATATGAGGTACACAATAAACTAGCCACTACCATCCACAGGATGGATATGAGGTACACAATAAACTAGCCACTACCATCCACAGGATGGATATGAGGTACACAATAAACTAGCCATTACCATCCACAGGATGGATATGAGGTACACAATAAACTAGCCACTACCATCCACAGGATGGATATGAGGTACACAATAAACTAGCCACTACCATCCACAGGATGGATATGAGGTACACAATAAACTAGCCACTACCATCCACAGGATGGATATGAGGTACACAATAAACTAGCCACTACCATCCACAGGATGGATATGAGGTACACAATAAACTAGCCACTACCATCCACAGGATGGATATGAGGTACACAATAAACTAGCCACTACCATCCACAGGATGGATATGAGGTACACAATAAACTAGCCACTACCATCCACAGATGGATATGAGGTACACAATAAACTAGCCACTACCATCCACAGGATGGATATGAGGTACACAATAAACTAGCCACTACCATCCACAGGATGGATATGAGGTAACACAATAAACTAGCCACTACCATCCACAGGATGGATATGAGGTACACAATAAACTAGCCACTACCATCCACAGGATGGATATGAGGTACACAATAAACTAGCCACTACCAGCCACAGGATGGATATGAGGTACACAATAAACTAGCCACTATCATCCACAGGATGATAGTGGCTAGTTTATCCAATAGTGTGGTGACAATAGTATGGTTACAACAGTGGTCACAACGGTGTGCTCACAGATTTGGTTACGACAGTGGTCACAACAGTGTGGTGACAACAGTGTGGCCACAACAGTGGTCGCAACAGTGTGGTCACAACAGTCGCCACAACTGTGTGGTCACAACAGTCGCCACAACAGTGTGATCACAACAGTCGCCACAACAGTGTGATCACAACAGTCGCCACAACTGTGTGGTCACAACAGTCGCCACAACAGTGTGATCACAACAGTCGCCACAACAGTGTGATCACAACAGTGGCCACAACTGTGTGGTCACAACAGTCGCCACAACAGTGTGATCACAACAGTCGCCACAACAGTGTGATCACAACAGTCGCCACAACAGTGTGATCACAACAGTCGCCACAACTGTGTGGTCACAACAGTCGCCACAACAGTGTGATCACAACAGTCGCCACAACAGTGTGATCACAACAGTCGCCACAACTGTGTGGTCACAACAGTCGCCACAACAGTGTGATCACAACAGTCGCCACAACAGTGTGATCACAACAGTGGCCACAACTGTGTGGTCACAACAGTCGCCACAACAGTGTGATCACAACAGTCGCCACAACAGTGTGATCACAACAGTCGCCACAACAGTGTGATCACAACAGTCGCCACAACGTGTGGTCACAACAGTCGCCACAACAGTGTGATCACAACAGTCGCCACAACAGTGTGATCACAACAGTCGCCACAACAGTGTGGTCACAACAGTCGCCACAACTGTGTGGTCACAACAGTCGCCACAACAGTGTGATCACAACAGTCGCCACAACTGTGTGGTCACAACAGTCGCCACAACAGTGTGATCACAACAGTCGCCACAACAGTGTGATCACAACAGTCGCCACAACAGTGTGGTCACAACAGTCGCCACAACTGTGTGGTCACAACAGTCGCCACAACTGTGTGGTCACAACAGTCGCCACAACAGTGTGATCACAACAGTGGCCACAACAGTGTGGTCATAACAGTGTGGTCACAACAATCGCCACAAGAGTGTGTGTACAACATTGTGGCCTCAACAGTGTGGGTACAATGTGGCCACAGCAGTGTGGTCACAACAGTGTGACCACAACAGTGACCACAGCAATGCATTCAAAACAGTGGTCACAGCAGCATGGTCACAACAGTGTGGTCATAACAGTGGTCACACCGGTATGGTCACAACAGTGTGACCACAACAGTGACCACAGCAATGCGTTCAAAACAGTGGTCACAGCAGCATGGTCACAACAGTGTGGTCAAAGCAGTGGTCACAACGGTATGGTCACAACAGTGTGACCACAACAGTGACCACAGCAATGCATTCAAAACAGTGGTCACAGCAGCATGGTCACAACAGTGTGGTCATAACAGTGGTCACACCGGTATGGTCACAACAGTGTGTCCACAACAGTGACCACAACAGTGAAAATCCTAGATGTACTGCTTCCAAATCTGCACACACAAATCACTGCTACAAGAAAAAGTTGGTCAATAGATATCAAATTCGCCCAGTAAGTGTCAGGGGCCCAAGACTATTCAACAACCTTCCATTACCCATAAGAGGAATCACATTCCCCTCTCACTGGCTGTCTTCAAGAGGAAACTACATAGGTTCCTGATCAGCCTGGTTGATCAGGCTTTGATCCCCCGGGAGGCCTGGTCATGGACCGGGCCGCGGGGGCGCTGACCCCTCCTCCCCCAGCATCTCTCAGATATCCTACAGGCATCACCCAGGTAACCGTAAGATTCTTAGGGAAACAGACAGGTGATATGAGATTTTTCAGAGGTGACCTGTGACCTGGAAGGTGACTAACACCCAGGCACGTATTTACTGCTAGATAAACAGTGACAGTAGGTGTAAAGTA